AGCTTCGGCGGTGGGTTCGCAACCTCATGCATACCGTAGGGATAGACGAGACTGTGCTTCGAAAGCCAGTCCGCGACTCTATTCCCTTCGCGGTATACATGAGTGATGCAAACCAACCAATCCTGACTAAGTCTCCTTCGAATCGCAGCTAACAGAGTCGCGTGCGGGTGGACAGGGTCCTGTCTGCTCTCGATGAGTTGTACTGCCAGCTGGGAATCAGATTCCACTCTAATGGTGCGGTAGCCACTCTTCCAAGCCATCTCTAAACCATAAAAAACCGCCCAAAGCTCTGCAAGAATAGCAGTGGCCGAGCCAATATTGGCTACAAAGCCGGCCTTCCAATTACCCGTGCTGTCTCGAAGAGAGCCTCCCGCTCCAGCCGGGCCGGGATTTCCATTTGACGCACCATCAACATTCAGGGTCAGCCAACCATCAGGAGGAGGTGACCAACCCACCTGCACACTAACACGAGAGGGAGCCTGAAGCGAACCTACCTGCAGTCTGGAGGGCGCTCGCCAAGCTTCATCCCAAAGTTTCGTTTTCGCCCAGATCAAATGCGTCAAAGAGAGAGGGGAAAGAGCCGCTCCAATCCCTTGGAAACAGACCATACACCGGTTCTTCCAAAACAACCACACCGTGATGCTGAAGAAAGCCGCCCAGCTCATGCCGGGGTCCATAGTATAATCACTGGAGAGGTTGTGCCGTAACCAATCCCCCTGGCCAATACTGAAAAACAAGTGTTGTTGTTGACCAGGGACGCCACGAGTCCAAAAGAATCTCGCTGGAGGACAGTCGCGCAGGATGTGCAGTGCAGTTTCCGGGCAGCCTTCGCATCTCGAGCAAAAAGGGTTCTCCGCCACTTTTCTATGGAACAAAAGCAGCTTGGTGGCCACCTTGTCCAGCAGGAGCATCCACATGAAACTCCTAACCCGCTCTGGAACTGGCAGCCTCCAAATGATCCTCCAATACTTCTCATCGGGATCCGCCGATCGTTGGTTGAGAAGAGAATAAGTTGTTTTCACCGAGAACCTTCCATCGGCAGCGGCAGACCAGAACACGGTGTCTTCTTCTACTGACAACTTGTCCACGGCAATGCTAAGAATCTTCCGAAGGACCTCGGAAGGGAGCAGATCCGCAAACAACTCCGTACGCCAAAGACCATCCTCAGTAACAAAATCCGCCACTCGAGCATTCTCCAAAGCCTCCGGAATAGTGTCCATGGCCACATCTTTGAGGGGAACCTGCAAAACCCAAACATCAAGCCAGAATTTAGTATGCCTCCCATTCTTGATGTTCCACGCACAACCCTTCCGTAGAAGGTTAGCAGCTTTCGAGAAGCTAGCCCAGGTAAAGGAACTTCCCTGAATAGGTCGAAGAAGATCCAGATCCTCCTTTGACTTCCCATACTTGGCCCGCATAAGCTCGGTCCAGAGGCAGTCTTTATCCTTGATCAACCGCCAGCCTCCCTTAGCGAGCATGGAGAGGTTAGCATGTCGAATCGATCGAAGCCCAGCCCCTCCTTGGGTTTTTGGAAGGACCATCTTTTCCCAAGCCACCAGGTGCATCTTGTTCTCCTCCCCACCCCAAACGAAATCTCTGTTCAACCTGTCAATACTGTTGCAAACTCCTCGCGGAATGAGCTCCGTGTTCATGTGAAAAGTGGGAAGAGCTGCAGTAACCGATTGAGCCACCGTGAGCCTAGCCGCCAAGGATAGACGTCTCGCCTTCCAAGGGGCCAGCTTCCTCTGGATATGAAGGATCAAATTCTGGTACCTCCCTTTAGTCACCCTCCCATGAATGCCCTGAACCCCGAGATACCGCCCTAGCTCGCTTTTCAAAGGAATACCTGCTCTCCTACTTAAACTGGATGCCTTGTCTCTGTTGATGTTGGGAGACACATACATCAACGACTTTGCATAGTTGACCCGCTGCCCGGAGCTTGAGCAAAACTCTTCCAGACATCGCGTAATGATCCGGATTTGACGTGTCTCTGCTTCGGCAAAAAGCAGCAGGTCATCTGCAAAAAACAAATGGGTAAGTTGGGGACCATTAGTGGAAAGCTTAAGAGCTTTCCACTCCCCGTTACGAACAGCATTATCAATCATATGAGACAGACGTTCCATGCACAAAACAAAAAGATAAGGAGAGAGAGGATCTCCCTGGCGAACTCCGCTGGAAGGGGAGATGGGCGAGGAGAGCTGACCATTCCAAAGAATCCTCATCCGGTTCTGCTCCACGCAGTACACGATACATCTGATCCAATCACTAGGCAGGCCGACCTCTTTCAGGGTGTCCCTAAGGAAATCCAACGGAGCATGTCGTATGCTTTCTCGAGATCGATCTTGAGCACTAACCCTCCTTTCCTGCCTTTCTTCTTCCTGAGGGTGTGGAGAACCTCTTGAACCACAATGATGTTATCCGTCGTTTGGCGTCCCGGTATGAAACTGCTCTGGCGAGGAGACACCAATTTTCTCATCACCGGCTTGAGGCAGTTGGTCATGGCTTTGGTGATGGCCTTCAAGCTAACATTGTTGAGTGAGATGGGGCGCAACTGGGTCACCAGCTCGGGATTATCCACTTTCGGAATAAGCACCACCGTGGAATCAGAGATCGCCGTCGGGAGGGTTCCAGAGGAGAAAAAGTTAAGCGCCATGTCTGTCAAGGCTTTCCCTATAGTTCTCCAACAGCGCTGGTAGAAGACCGCCTGAAAACCATTAGGACCCGGAGCTTGAAGAGGCTTCATGTCAAAGATGGCCTTGTGGATATCCATGATATTGAAGGGCCGGAGGAGCATCATCATTTCATTCTGCGTGAGACGAGGGAAGGACCCTTTCGGCAACTTGTCTTCACAAGTAGACTCATCCTGCGTGTACAGATTAGCATAATACTCGAAAACGAAAGAGGCAAGGATATTTGGATCATCGATCCAGGTACCATTCGCATCTCTTAACGCCTCGATCTTGTTACGCCTCCGTCTAATGTTGACCTTATGATGAAAATAGGAAGTATTCCTCTCCCCAAACTTCACCCAGTTCTCCCTAGCTCTCTAAAACCAGACCAGCTCCTCCTGCTCCAGCTCCTCCTGCTCCAACACCTTGTCTAGCTCCTGCTCAAGTTTCGAATGGAGCTTAGCAAGTCCTGGAGTGAACTGAATCGCCAGCCTGATTTCCACCCCTTTGATACGACCCAAAAGTCTCCTTTTCCTCTGTTGGATGTTGCCAAAAACGCTGGTGTTCCATTCTTGCAACACTGTCGCCAGGTTATGAAGCGCGGAGGGCAGGCTAACGTCATTCTCCCAGTTCCCTGCGACCAAATCCAGAAAATCATCGTGAGTTAACCAAGCTGCCTCAAACTTAAAAGGGTGAGGTGAAGCAGAGAAATGCCCCTGGTTGGCAATAGTGGTGAGGATGGGATGATGATCGGACTGTAGACGCGGCAGATGTTGAACAGAAGTATTAGGAAAGGAAGAGTTCCAATGGGCATTGCATAGGCTCCGGTCGAGACGACTGGCTTTATGCAAAAAAAAAATTGACCATTATATAGAGAGACAAAATCGAGTTTTAATTTCTTTCTTTGGAATTGGTTTTCAATTACTTTTGGCCACCCATGCCAATATGATGCCAAGGTCAAAAACTTATAGACAATATCACCGTGACAATCATATTATCATGACATGCACGCTAGTTGACACCAGATGCAAGATCGACCATCCCAAGCCTGCCATGGTGATTGGCATCAACCTGCCATGACACCACTCAACCAATTTCAAGTTATTAACCTCATAGTTGACAGCTTCAAGTGTGCATTACCAACTATTCAAATTTATCGTGGTAGTAGTTGTCACGAGATGGTCAACATCATCACTCTATCGTACATTTCATGTCATCATGCCATTACCAGTAACTAGGAGTCGATAAACCGAACACTATCCATCGTGCCATGGATGACGGCCCGACCACTCCCATACCACCACGTTGGTCGAACTCATGGTCACCATGTATGACCAAGACAACCCTAACACAACAACAACATTAAAGAGACTTGGGAAGTAATCGTGTCATAGGACATGCAAGAAGCAAGTTTGACTATAATATATCATTTTATGAGCGACTATGAATGCTCGAATCTATTAAGATATCGATACTTCCCTAAATTTCTTTTAGTATTTTGGTACTAGTACTTTGCGGTATGTGACGGAGAGATGGTAAATGGGAGAAAAGACCACTAATAATAGAATATCAAAACAAAAATCAATCCAAAAATAGCTCAATCAACTGATCATATGTGCTCTCTAGTACAAGAAATTCACCAGCATAAATTTCTACCATTATTTGTCTCCCTCCTCTCGTCCAAAATCACAATTTTTAACCTATCTTCTGCTTTAGCAGTGGGTGATGTGCTGTTACCAGTGTACGACTCATCGAAGAACAGAACAGCTCACGAATTTTAATGATGATTTGGCAAAAGGAAAAACAATGGAATAATTAGTTTTTTTGACCAAAATTTGTTTTTTAATCCACCCAAAAATCCCCCACCTCATTCGGCTTATTAGTTTTGTGTCATAATAAAAAGGAAATAAATTAAAACCCATTTGTCTACTCTTTTAAATTTATCCCAAAAGGATAATTAATTGGATAATTTCAACGCATCCCCTGTAATTTATTTCAATTAATTAATTAATTCCCCTTTATCCCCCACCCTTCTTCATCTTCTCAATTTAAAAGGAGGCAGCCATTAGCAGCTCGGAGTTTTTTACCCAATCACCCATAAACCTTTCTCCGAAGACCAGAGCAGTGACAGAGATTGATTTCCACTTTCCCGCCGGCGGCAAAAAGATCGGGTCTTTACTCAGTTAAACAAGTCAAGTCCCAAGATTTTTCTAGGGTTTCTGCACTTTCCCTTTCCTCATTCTAATTGTTCGTTGAAGTTCTGGGTTAAGCTGTCAAAATCAATCGTTATTTACTATTTTTTCCTTTTCCCCTTCAATTTCCACCTTCTCTGTAAATTTTCCCATCAAACAAACAGACAAAGGCCGAGCTGAAAACCCATTCTCAAACAACAGGCGATCCGCGACAAAAGCTCGTTCTCTGCTTCTTTCTTTTTCTTCTTTAAACAAATTGGGTGCGGGGTCTCTCTGTGCAATTTCTATACGCGTCTCGCTTACAAATACCCATTCCTCTACCTTTTGACACCTCTCCTTCGGTTCTGCCTATTGCGCCCCTTCATTTCATATACTGTCGATTCCGTGTTCCCTTTCCGTAGCTTAATTGGGAAAGCCCTCTTCTGAATCGAAGTTTCTAGGTTCCCCACCTGTTTTCCTCTTCTGGGTCTTCTTGGGTTGCTCTGTGCCTTGATGGGTGCCAACTTCTCATCGATTTTCATGGATCCGGCGACGACTTGCTCTCTGTTCGGCGCCTTTTCCCCTCCAATCCAACAGCCGCCGCGGAGGCCGACCCTGGGCGACTTGCCGGAGAGCTGTGTGGCGCCGATTCTCGCTAATTTGGATCCCGTCGAGATTTGCAAACTGGCGACGCTCAACAGGGCGTGTCGCGGCGCGTCTTGGGCTGATTTCGTGTGGGAGTCCAAGTTGCCGGAGAATTATCGGGACCTTATGGAGAGAGTGTTGGGCGTTGGCAACGCCGATGGGAAGAGGATTAGCAAGAGAGAGATTTACACCAGACTTTGCGCCGCCAATACAATCGATGATGGCTCCAAGGTTTGTTCCTTCCGTCCTTCTTTCACTTCTTCTGGGAAAGTTTTTCATCCAGCAGTTAATTGAAATGGAAAAGTCTCGAGCTTCCTACAATTCTATGGCTTATCAGGGTTTCGATTTTCATTTCCCTTGGCCAATAGAAGTTCTAGGGGTCTAAAAGATGAAATCTTAGGTCATGTTAACGAGAAACCTGATATTGGGTCATAGTTGGAACTTGGAATATAAGAAATAGCTCATCAATTTTGTGTTTTGAAATTGGTTTACTGATTAGCTTGAAAAACCTTCATGTTGTTGTGCAGAAAGTCTGGCTAGACAAAACCACTGGTGGCGTCTGTCTATCCCTCGCTTCCAAGGGCTTGATGATAACCGGCATCGATGATCGCCGATACTGGAACCATATTCCAACTGAGGAGTCAAGGTGAGGGCTTCAACCAAAATCTTCGTATCTTGTAGAGTTTCAATACCATTGATGGTTATATAAGTAAAAGGTTCTAAAATGCTGCTTCTCTTCTTTAGAATGGACATTGAATGATCAACTTCTAGTTAATTGAATTGTCTAGTTCGAGCTTAGTGCTGTAGCTAATCTAAGCTTCCCTTCTTCTACAGATTCTCCTCTGTTGCATATCTTCAGCAGATATGGTGGTTCGAGGTCAGTGGAGAGTTCGAGTTCCCATTCCCAGCAGGTACCTACAGTCTGTTTTTCAGGCTACAGCTGGGTCGAACTGCTAAGAGGTTCGGTCGGAGGATCTGCAACACCGAGCATGTCCACGGTTGGGATAAAAAACCGGTTCGGTTTGAACTGTGGACTTCGGATGGTCAATATGCATCTTCACAGCGGTTTTTGAATGATACTGGGAAGTGGAACCTGTACCATGCTGGTGATTTCGTTGTCCACAAAGATAATGATGCGTCAATGAAGAAGCTGAAGTTCTCAATGACACAGATCGATTGCACACACACAAAGGGTGGTCTGTGTTTGGACACTGTACTTGTATTCCCATGTAAATTTAGAGAAAGGTTGAAGCATTTTTGAGGCGCATTCATACCTTTTGATGATAGTAGCAGCGAGAGAAGATAGTTTTAGGAGAAGAAATAGCTCATCATCCCGTGTCATATATGTGTTCAAGTAGAGCAATGTGTATAGTCCGGTTTTGTATTGTTTGTCAGTTGGTCAGTCGAATACAATGTAATTCTTTCAGTTCATTTTGATTACTGGAGAAAAGAACTTCCATATCTGAACATCTAACTGTTGTGATGCTATCGATTTACAGTTTGTGCACCAAATAAGAACCATGTACAACAGCATTCTAGTCTCCAAAACTAAGTACTTCTGCCAAAAGGGGTCCTAAATTTATCTTCAGATCATACTATCTGAAGCCTTTTTCCTAAAATTTCCATAGTATAGCTTTTCACTAGAGTTCTGTTCCTACTAGAGCAAAAAGGGCAGAATAGCTATGCTTCATCACTTCCAGCCAAAGGTCATGGAGTCACCAAAAGCACCATCGGACATTCCATTCTCAAGTAACTTACGGAACAAGTCATGTTCATTGGATGGACCAAGCCTTTCCAGAGAACTTCTTCCCTTGTTGCTGCTGGTGAAACTGGGATCTGCATAACGACTAGAAGACTCCCAACTGTTTCTTGTCTTCCCCAGGAAGCCAGCAAGTTTGCTTCCTCCTGAAGAAGTGGCAGCCGAAGAAGCGCAATCGTCAGAAGGCAATCTATTGCTTGAACCAGAAGCATCCATGGTATTCGAAGTTGCTGGAAAACCAGCAAGCATGTCATAGATGGTATGGTTTACTACCTCCCTCTCAGTCCAACCGAGGTTTTGGCTCTTATTGCTTGTTCCTTGAAGTAGCTTCATAATATGCTCTTGTACTGGACTGCTTTCAGAGGGAGGAGAACCTCGGAGTGGCTTGGGGGAAGGGGCTTGATTGAACTGTTTGTATAGGTAAGAGGGTTCCCCGAGTCTAGCCATGGCTGAGTTGGATGCCTGACTCAGTAATTTACCGTAGCTTCCATAATCAGCCAACGTTCCCTCGTCAGAGTTTGGAAAGACTCCACCATTCGCCTTATTCATGATCCCTTGGCAATGCGAAGATGACAATTGCTGACTTGTCTCCTTTGCTAGCGAGTCCAGTTCCTCTTGGGTTTGTGCCCGAGCGTCCAAGGAGAACTTCTTGGTATAACTCTTCAAGCTCTCTGAAACACGAGGATTATCATACAAGCCTTCCTACACATATCTACCAAATCAACGTTCACTGAGAGTTGACATCATTACTCACCAATAGCTCCAGTTTTGTTCTGCCAGCTGAAGGTCATCAAGTCTTTCATACTGTTAACTATTTCCGCAATCTGGAAATGGCAATAACAAGTATAGAGTGTTTATGATACTTCTCAAAGGATTCTGATGGTAGAACAGCAAATACACTGTTTACACCTCACCTGCAAGCAACGAATGTATCGCTTTGGAAAACCCATGTCACCGGCAAGCTGCAACTCCAAGTTTTTTTCGAGACTGCATCCAGCTGCTAACAACCTGCACCAATGTTAACACTATCAGCAATCATGTTTTGTTCCAACATTCCAACATTGATCCAAACAGTCAGTCACGTGAAACAGGAGCTACTATAGATAATCCCCAGCAAATGCCAATGCCTTTGTCCATGATCCATATTCAAGCGTGAAAAGTGATGAACGTGCAAAGATGTCAAGCATCATTTCAGAATTTGTAGTTCATATATAATCATATACAGGTATATGGTGGCCTAATTTACAACCAGTTGTTGAATGAATGGTGAACCATAGGAATTTCTTACGTGTGGCAATTTTCTTGAAGATCAGGCAATGCCCTTCCCGGTCCACCACCATCAATTGCTGTCTGGTATTCTTGTGCAGTTCGGAGGAAATCATTAACCTGAAAACAAGATGAGTGTCCCATGTGCTTACGATCTCTAACTGCTAAGCAGAAACCCTACCAGAACCAACACATGACCAGCTTGCTAGATATAAGCCAAAGCAGAACCCCTGAGTACCTGAGATGTGACTAAACTCCGTGGCAAAAGCTCTTCATGGTCTTTTGAACAAAATTCCCAACATGATATCTGGCAAGGAGAAGGAAAAAGCAACAATAAAGTATACATTTTTCAGGGATACATTCATCACCCCAATAAACCTTACGAACTCACTGAAATGAGTTTTTCACCTTCAAATCAGGAGTGAAGACAATCCGCAGTTTTCCCTCACGGACAATATGGAACTGGTTGTAAACGGTCTCATGCACTGCCTTTCCATATTCAAGAACCATTGATCCAGAAGGAAGCCTACACTCTTGTGGCAATTCAAGAAACAGAAGTTCATCCGTAACCCCAGTCTCAAACTGTATTTTGTTAAGTCTAGGGAGCACTTCAAAAGTTGCCTCTGCCAAAGGAAGAGAGATCAGAAAGAAGACTCATTAATGAGCGTACTTCTGATGATTAAGGGATTATTAATGGCCTAACAGAGCAGGTGCCAAATAGTTGTTTTGCTTACCGAAACCTCTCCCAGAGGTAGAACCACATAAATCACAGCACCATGCCTCCTGGGGGGAAAAAAACAGCAATCAAATTCATTGATTCACTCATTAGACCGCCCCATATCCAAATCACATGCCATTCTTAAGGTGACTCATCCCAGGCAACTTAAGAAACAAACCTTAATATATGCACTTAGACATAATTTGTTTGGTTAAATGTGTTAGGAGGGCGACACTTTCAATAGCATGTTCAAACACATTGTTTTCTGTAGACATTTTTCATACATTTAAAATTGCAGATGTAATCTCCAATGCATCAAAATTATAAAATCTCAAATGGAGAGGAAGGAAATATTAGCAAACTCAATTCCAGAGAAGTGAGTTCCACAAATCTGCCTATCCAATTTTCTGATGCAGACTTCATACACTAATGTGCTAAACCATCCAATGTATTTGCAAACACAAATCACATAATAGAATCAAGTGAGATAAATTACAATCTATTCACACCACACAATATATTTTGAATTGTGTAGATATGGTAAGGAACACCAAGAGTGACAGAGGAGGGTCATATAATCTAACCATAGCAGCCTGAGGGAAGACTCCAACAGCATGACGCCCAACACTGTGACAAGAAGATAAACACCACCTTTTCTTGGCACAAGGAGCGTAATATTCTGCCACAAACTTCCTCCAATATGAAATATCATTGCTCTACAAAAAACACACACTCGCACACACAGAGACGGAAAGATGAATGCTAGTTGTGAGAAGCAATCCATGCATCAAAACAGGAAACAAATAGGAAGTAGTCGGTTTAAGAAAAACAGCAACTCTCACCGGTGGCCTACGCTGAAGATGATACAGATACTGTGTTAGCCGGCGAGAGCACACATTGGCATTAAAAAGCTGAGCAGGCGGATGTGATTGTGTGCGCCTGAGTGCGAGCTGTTGAAGGTATTCCTTTACTTGTTGCTGTTGCTGTTGCTTTAAGTCAACTCCAACAGGTAGTTCCTGCATTGGCTGAAAAGTTCTCCTCTGCCTGTGAGGCAAAGTCTCCAGGATAGGACTATGATGACCTTGTGACTGAAAGGAAACCGGATTCTGCAGTAGCAGTTGCTGCATAGCTTGTCGTTGTTGTAGAGCAGTGTCTTGTCTGGGTTCAGTTTTGTTTTTTCTGTGTGCCTGACTTTGATTAGGAAGCTGCTCCCTTTTGTTGGGGTCAATAGTTGACTTCTTCTTTTTCGGCAATCTAGGCTGAGAGGTACTACTTTGTTGCTGTTTTCTTTTGGATGGTTGTGCTCGGTTTTGGGTAAAAAGTGTTTCTTGCTGCACAATGGAAGAGTCACTGGTGGTGGAAGAACCTGAAACACGTCAGAGGATGTGGCATGAATATATGGATTGTTGTGTAAACCATTTGAATCTGAAAACTTTCTCCAACGTACCTGGAATGTCGCCACATGATGACGAATTGAGGAAGGAAGTCACTGCATCATGGAAATGCCCTTCTTTCCGCAGCTTATTCCCAGAATTCAAAGACTGCACCAAATCTCCAGTGGCCTCAGCTGATGCCATGCATCGCATTGCAAAGAGATAATTGGAGTCGAAAAAGGCCTCTGATGCCATCACTCTCTTACTGCATTAGGCAGAGCAAACGTAATTTGTAAACATTTACAAGCAAATGGCAAAAGGCCCCAAATCCAAATGTTCAACTGCAGAAGCACAGAGCAAAAGTCCTCATTTCCATAAGCCACAAAGTCTACATAGGCAACAAAGAGGAAATCAACCATTCCTTCTTAATACTTTACAAGATACCAGACAACAGTATTTCTTCAAACTTTTGTACGGCAAACACTTATCTTTGGGACGGTGAGAAACTACTAGAACGATTCTCCTCGTGAACAAAACTATATAGGCCTCCAAAACCAACATACAGAAAGCCAAATGCACGAACTGGAAAAAGCATATTGCAAATACGATATGCATTGAAGGATTGAAATACCACAAAACCACATCGAGAATTCATAATTTCACAGCTTAGGATTAGCATACGCTTACACAATATAACACACGCTCTACCGACAAGAAACCCGATTAGCGTAACTCAAAGCCAAGAACTTTCTCAGCTAGGAACCATAATATGAACTATAACTGCTCCATAGAAGCTTTCGACCTCCTCCAAATCCACCAACTTTTCTCGAGACTTCTGAAGAATCACAACTCCGCCAACTAGACTGTATCACCTTCCTGAAACCGACACAAGCCACTATTTCACTGAAGAAGAAGAAGACCCCGCCAGAAACCCATTCCCAAAAGGAAAAGGAAAAGAGACGCAAAGTTATGGTTTTTTTGTGGGGCTCCCTCCCACACACTAAAGCAGTCACCGCCCTTCACTAAACTGGGGCGCTCCAAATTTCAAAAACCTTGAGCTTTATTTCCCTTTTGCTCGCTTTGCTTGTTTTTTCTCGACAGACCCAAATGCCCATTCCCCATGGATAGCATACAATAAGGCAAAGAATCAGATTTGTGGGTCTCTTCGATGCTTATAGCAACCGCGGAAACTATTGAGCAGTAAAGGAAAAGCCGCAAAAGGAAAGGGGGAAAAGAAAAAGGAGCCAAATTTTGAAGAAAGTGGCGCATACAACACAGGGAATGAGATTCTTTTACCATGTACCCAATACTTCGATTCTTCGCCAGCCCCTTCCCTTTCTCTACCACAGATTGCTCTTGTACGGAACCGCCATGGCAGCAAAGCACTAGCAGTGAGACTGTGAGTGAGTAGGAAGAAATTTTATAAAAGAGTTTCGCGTTTTTTTGTGATAAAAATATTTCGTTTTGTTTTAATATTTCTCCTACTTTTGTCCCATTTCTCGAGGTGTCGTTCATCTGGGAGAGCGGGAAAGAGTCACACGGAGCTAGCGACTAGCGAGGGAAAGGGAAGAGTCGACCGGTGGTGACCGGCTGGTGGCGGTGAAATTTCTCCGTCGGTGACCGGCTCACTGTTATAAAAAGGACAGAAGGGACACGCGTCGCGCTGGGACAAGCCATGTATTACTGTTCAGATTTGGAGAGATGGATATTTTGTGTCTTCTTCTACCTTTCTTTGTGTTTCCACCCCTGGACTTCAGAATTATTTACACCAACGCCACTGCCTGCCTGGGCCAAGCATTTGGCCTTTTCCAATGGGCTGTCTGCTGTTATTGCAACATCATCGGATGTACAAAAGGAATGGGATGAATGTTCTTTCGACAAGTTTTGAACATGAAAGCAACTTCCAACCAACGAGATAAATATCAAAATGGTAGGCATGATCTCGTCAGATTTGCGGCCAGAGATTTTAACAGGAAGTCAACATCCTTCCTAGTCCAATCGAGGCTACCCCAAAACCTAAACAATACAACAACTAGAAATGGTATAAAGATGGCCTCTTCCTTCCTGGGGATTGAATCTGAATCCGGTTCATTGCTCTTATTCGCCTGTCGAGGATGGTCTTCGGTATGGCATGAACCTGTGGTCCTTTGAGGCGTTCTTCTTTCTCCGTTTCTCAATGAAAGATTCAAGCTTTCCAGTTGCCTATAGTCAATTTATGATGTTTCATCAGTTAACAAAAAAATCTGTGGAAGCAACTGTCTTTGGAAGGTTATGTTTTCACTTTGAATCGATGATGAATAAAAGCATACCTTGAGTTTGTTATACTTGTCGACGAGCCTTTGTTTCTTGATTTCGGCTGGGGAAAAAATGACAGGTAAATTCAGGGTTTTGTATGCTTGGGAATCTATGGGGTTAATAATTGAAAGGAAAGACAGAGATTTACATTTCTTGAGATAAAACGGCTGTTTGCCTCGCTTAGCAGCCTCCCTCTCTTTCTTCTTGTGTTCAATAAGAATCGATGATTCCACTTGTTTTGTTGTGTCAAACTTCAGCTGCTTGTCCTGTCAAGAGCAGGAAGGAAAGAGGTCAGCAAAAGAGATAGACACACGAGATTCAAAAGAACTTCCTACTTAGTTAGCAGGTTTCTTACAGTCCACTCTATGCGCTTCTTTAATTGATCGACGGCTACTGGGTCTTTGGATTTCCTTAGCTGCTTCTTTAGTTCCTATATCAATCAAAAGGAAGTGAGGAGTGGAATATATTAAGGAACAGAACACCAAGTGAGTAGTGGAACGTGTTAGCCTGTGATGAAATTAAGGCAGTCACCTCTTTTTCGGCTGGAAGGTTGCTCTCGTAGAGGAAATCGTATCTTTTCCTATAGCTATTGAGAGAACAGAACTTATAATCAGAAAGTCTTTCTATGATGTATTGATGTTCAAGTTCTAACAACATTGGCCAAGTCAAGTGCTACTTCCTATTTAGGATGGTCTAAGAATCGTCAAGCAGGGCAAACACAGAACAATAAACAGCAGCAATCACATAATTAACTGGACAACAGGATCACGAGGATATACACTTACCCTTCCACATTAAGCGTACCACACAACGACTCAAAGCGAGGATCACGTACTACCTACAACATATCAAGCCCATCAAGACACAAGCTTTGGCGTCGCAGAAAGGAACACTAAGAGAAAATATTTAGAACATGAATAAACAACTGAAAGATTACAAAACTATGAACGCTGAACAGGATACACATCAAGCAACTTGTAATAATGTCATCAAACTTTCAAAGCTGGTGCTGCTTGTTTAAACCAAATCAAGTAATGCAGCATCGAAGTGCTACATCGACCAGTGAACAAGAGTGACACTAGTTTACCACATATGAGCTCATGCTATACCTAATATTGCAAAAAAAAAAAAAATCAAAATGAAAGCCGAAAAAGCTAGCCGCTACTATAAAATGTTCACAATGATCAAAAGGTAGTGAAAATGAGGAAATGGTCGTTGAAAATACCTTCTTAGGAGCTTGAATGACCTCTCGAAACCTACTAACTGGTTTTTTGCAAGTGACCTCCACCGGTCTGCAAAAATAGCAGGGGAAAACACAGAAGCACAGGGCAATTACAATCACCTTGAAACCAGAAAACCAATACGAGATCTAAAGCATATGCAGAAAAAATACTGAATCAGCAATCAATTATTATTTTGAAGAGGAAATAGTGCCTGTTCTTGTTGGCTCTCTTAGCCCTCTTTTCCAAAATGGGCTTTCGGTAGACTGAATCGGACCCATTAGACCTAGCTTTCTGCAGCTCCTCAAACGTAACATCCGCAAGTTCTCTCTCTAATTCCTCTTCCTCCTGCACCGAATTGCAACACAAACGCACAGCTACATTAATTTCCAGGATATTTCAGCTGAGAAATTGACAGACTTTGAGGAGCAAGTGAAGAGCTCACTTCTAGGTCGTCATCCTCTTCCTCCTCAGAGGAGGAAGAAGATGAGAGCTCCTCGTCGTCGTCTTCGCTTTCCGGGGACTGGGTTTTGATCGGAGCAGCAAGTTCCTCAATTGGTTGCCCCATCATAAGCAGTAAGCTCTTTTCGATTGAAGAAATCGTAAGGATAAAAAAACATGAATTTTTTAAGCGGTAGGACGGACACAGAAAGGCGCCTCAAAGTTCGAAGCTTTGGGAAAGGAAGATCGTCGCCGGAAACCTAGTCTAAGGAAAGGCGATGAACGACTGGCACCTCGTGAGAGCAACGTGAACTAGGCTTAGACATGGCGGCCCGTGAACTGGGCAGGCTGAGGCAGTTCCGATTTTGCTTTAAGAGATGGATTGGGTTTATTTGGCTCTGACCCAATAGCCGGTGGCCCAATAGCCGGAAAACATTTCAGATGGCTAGGGGTGGTATTCGGTACGCCAGTAAACGGTTTACCGTTTTACCGAACCGTTTACCGACGGTATCGGCAGTCGAGCGGCGAATTGGGTGGGTCGGTATACCGAAACCGGTATCGGTAAATACCGACAGTAAATCGGTAATACCAATACCGAACCCAAAACGACGTCGTTTTATTTGGCAAAGATTTCAACCCTAGTTCTAAAAAATACCCACCCAACAGAGAGAGCAGCCGCCACCCTTCCTTATTCGTTTCAAAATCGCCAGTTCAGAGAGAGCAGCCCCGCGTAGCGCCGCAGCCACCTCTCCTCTTCTCCTCTTCGCCGGATGCTGCTCCTTCTGCCGCCGCCGACGACGACGGCCCTGAATCCCTCACCCTCCCAGTCTCCCTTCCCTCGCCGAGTGCCGACGCCGCGACGCGTGACCAGCAGTGAAACCCTGATCCCCGCCGACGGCCCCGCTTCCCCGCCTCCACCTTCCCGCTTCCCCGCCGACGGCGACCTGGCCTTGAAACCCTCTCCCTTCCCTCGGCGACTTGGAGGTAAGGCAGAAACCCAAACATCCCCGCCGACGGCGACCCGGAAAACCGCCCACGTCGTCCTTTGCGGTAATTCGGTAAACCGGTTTGTAACCGTTTACCGGTAATTCGGTAATCGGTAAACCGGTTACAAACTGGTATCGGTAAAACGGTAAACAGTTTGGCCACCCTCGGTATACCGAAACAGATAAATTCGGTAAACGGTAAACCGTTTACCGACCGATTCCCACCCCTACAGATGGCTACAGACTTACCATAGACCTAGGGGTGGGAACTGGTTCGGTAAACTCGAACCGAACCAAAACCAAATTAAACTGAACCAAAACCGAAATAATGTTATTCGGTTCGGAATTCAAAAGAGAAATATGGACATTTCGGAAATCAGGGTCATTTCAACCAAACCGAATTTCCGACCGAAATACTATAATTGCAAGCTTCAAATAGTGGACTTTTTATGTTTGTAGTTGTTTTTAGACTTAAATGTTTGAAATGTTTTATGACTTGTGTGTTGAAAAGTTTGATTTTATCATTGATTATGCATATAATTGCATATTTATTGTTTATATTAGGGGTGAAAAATAATATAAAAGTGAGACAATACAAGTAGCCTCACAAATTCGATTTTGTGTGAAAAACGAACCGAACCAGATTATAATTCGATTTAAACCGACCGAAGCGAATTATAATTCTGTTCGAATTCGGTTCGAGTTTTGGGAGAATTCGGAGACCCGGTATTCATAATTTTGGTTCGGTTTCACAGGCACTCCTCTTCGAATATGGGTGGGTTAGAAATGATGATCATACTGCGGGTTGGTTTTGGAACCGGAACGAATCGTGCCCGCCAATTTCCAGACCCACCATTACTACGCCGACGTCCATTTTAGGACCTCTGAACCTTTCATCATCCTCCGCTTCTTCTGTTGCTTCAGCACCCCATAAAAGAGACGGGATATATGATTAGAAAGCAGGCCACGGAAAAAAACATGAGAGAAGAATACAATAGAACATCTCTCTCTAGGCTGTCTTAGTCCTAAACATGGCTAAGATCATTCTTTCTGGCTCTCTCATCTTCATAATCGTGCATTCCTAGTTATTTTCATTACTGCATACCTTACCTTGTCAGCGATTCACAGGCAAAAGTGAGTGCCAGGCAAAGTAATTGCCAGCTATTGGAGGAGTTGTTGCTGGTTCGTTGTTGCTCTGAAACCAACAGCTGTAGCTTCCATCATACATAACTCGCAATTGCTTGTACCTCGGAATTGAAGTTGACCAGCAAGGAATCTCAGATCGGAACAAATACCAATAACTTAAGAATCCTCTTACTTTGGCGAAGAGCTCCAGCTCTCCCCCTGCCCTCAAATCGCAGGACAAGGCATAAATATCACCAGAACCATCAGAATGACGGAGGTAGAAGACTTGCGGCTTCTCTGGATGCAAACAAGGTCCAAGGTTCGTGCGAAGTTCACACAACCTTGGCCCTTTCATTGACCCGTCACATACTTTTCGCCAAGATTTACGGTCTTCTTCCAGTCTCCACACGCTCAATGTGATCTGTGAACGACCCGGTTCAATTCGATCTTCAAATACAATTGCGTGCAAGGCACCTTGTGAGACACCAACATCCCACCCCGGTTTCCCAAAGACTAGTGGAGGTTCAATAGCAGTGGGAGGTATATCAGGATGGAAAGGATTAAAAGCAGCAATGAAAGGCTCCATCTGGTGCTGCATAGCAACAGGCTCTTGATTTGGAACGCCATAACACCAAAACACCTCCCCGTTGCAGGAAACCACATTTCTGGTTGCAAATTGACAATGCTCACGAAGAACAAGAATGTCCTTCGTCCATTCGCCAGTATCCGAACAGAACATATTTATCTTTGTACACCCCTCATGCAGGTATAGACACACCACTCGAAATCGATACTCGGAAGAATATGCAAACACTTGCTCCTCTCCGAGATCAAGATCATTAGAAATCCGGGGTTCACAAACTAACCTTGTAAAGAAGATCCCACAATCCAACGGCAATTCTGGCGCCAAAGGGAGGGCGACCCACTGCTTCGTAAGCGGATTGCAGAGGAAGTAGGATCTGTAAATTTCTCTTTCCAATGCGCTGCGGCCGCCGGCGGGACCCACATCGGAAAACCCGCAGAGAACCAAGTCCTTGTAAGAATCCATTACTGCGAAGGAGCTTTGGGTTAATAGAGTAGTCATGGGGATAACGCTCCTGATGATCGCTTGCGGGTCGTCTGAGGGTAGAAGGAGAACAGGCTGCCGGTTCCTGCTCTGGTGGTGGGAAACGAAACGGCGGTTGAAGCGGATTGGATTGGAGATAAGGGACTTCCATCTCTTGCAGACGGCTTTGCAGCGACAGGCGGATCTAGGGTTAGGGAGGCGAATCAGGATTTCTACGAGGAAATCGTCTCCCAGTTGAACGATGGTCGTCGCCGGCGGCGGAGGGTCGGCTTCTGTTGAATGTATCCGCCGTCGTTTCGTGGTGCTGCAAGGCAATAACCGCGAGCTCAGCTGCCGATCCGAAGCCGAGGTACTGTTGGAGGCCGACATGGATGGAATTTGGAACATGAGCAAGGAAGGCGAATCCCAACCCACAGTATGAGACGACTGGAAACTAGGAAAGAGATTGAAATCCCTAAAATTGTTCTTGCCAATCCAAATCCCTAAAATAGAGGAAAAAATCCCAATTTACACATGTTTTTAAAAAAAAATTCTCAAAATACACACGTTATGAAAATAATTCCCAATCTACGTTAGTTTGGGCCATCACCGCTTTCGACGAAGACAGTGATTGCATCACCGCTTTCGACGAAGACAGTGATTGCATCACTGTTGTCGACGAAGACAGTGATTGCATCACCGCTGTCGACGAAGACAGTGATTGTATCACTGCAGTACACGGCCGCGGTGAAGGCCTGACCTGCGTCGAAACTTTAAACAAACGTAACTTTGTGCTCGGTTATCCGATCGTAACGAAATTTTTTTTGATTCCGCATAATTTTTCGAGATCTTGCAAGCCGTAAATCGCCGTAGGTGGTTTGGTCCCGCCTTCGTCTCGAAAATATGTCGTTTGCTACCCCGAACGAGCCTTTTTTCGATTTTGTCAAACTTTGAACGACCATAACTTTGTGCTCCACAATCCGAAAATCATGAATTTTTTTTTATTTCGCATAACTTTTTAAGGGCTACAATTTTTATCATAGACATATTTTCGGAATGTACTTGGATTCCTGAAAAGGAAGGTAAAGTTATTCCCAAAACCCCTTATATCCATAAATAATTCATTTTTTGAAAATTCTCTCCTACTAAATATTGTAGTCCTTAAAAAGTTATGCGAAATAAAAAAAATTCATGATTTTCGGATTGTGGAGCACAAAGTTATGGTCATTCAAAGTTTGACGAAATCGAAAAAAGGCTCGTTCGGGGTAGCAAACGACATATTTTCGAGACGAAGGCGGCACCAAACCACCTACGGCGATTTGCGGCTTGCAAGATCTCGAAAAATTATGCGGAATCAAAAAAAATTTCGTTACGATCGGATAACCGAGCACAAAGTTACGTTTGTTTAAAGTTTCGACGCAGGTCAGGCCTTCACCGCGGCCGTGTACTGCAGTGATGCAATCACTGTCTTCGTCGACAGCGGTGATGCAATCACTGTCTTCGTCGACAACAGTGATGCAATCACTGTCTTCGTCGAAAGCGGTGATGGCCCAAACTAACGTAGATTGGGAATTATTTTCATAACGTGTGTATTTTGAGAATTTTTTTTAAAAACATGTGTAAATTGGGATTTTTTCCTAAAATAGAAGGCTGTTATTTTTTCCAATAAACAAAACTTTCAGGGTCATATTATGGGTTGGACCGTAATTAACCATTCCTTGTTTTGAGAAAATGGGCTCATTCGAAAGAGACCAGCCCAAACTCTTACACATAACCGCTAACACATCCTGTCATTTGGGAACACAATTATTCAACCCCCGATAGTAGTTTGCATATTGGTAAAAAAAAATGTTCAAGTGGTGGCGGGACACTCCTAAAATTTGGAAAAAAGATTATAATCCCCCATAGTAGTTTGTGTATGGGTAAATATAAATATTTAAGTGGTTGCCTATGTGATTTGAACTTGGGCATATTTTTCATTAGACTATAACTCATTTGTTCTTGTATTTCAAATTCAAATATAATAGTAAAAAGCTATTTTTTATCCCAATTATTTTCAAAAGCTAACGATTAAACCCAATTACGAGCTCTCCTAGTCTAGTAGGATATATCGAGAGAGATTTATAAAGCATTGTTAGACACAGATTGTATTTTACAATTTTTTCCAAAGTACGAAACACGTCATGTGCTTTGTTTTCCTTTGGACAAGTCAAATATTTTCTTATTTAATTATCATTTTAACTTAATTTTTAGTATATGACATCCCTATATAAAATTTCTGCATCCTCCACTGACTTTTGGAGTGACAGTAATCATATAATTAGTCACTCGAAAACAACCACGATTCGTTGGACTTTGCTAAAGCTTCAAGTTTCGATCGAGTAAGGAATTATCATCCAGAGAACAAGTAATATACCTGCTTTCACTTTCATCTGCTATAACAAGGCCCCAATAATTCCCATCGACAACAGAAAAGCCAATTATTCATCAATTAATGGAATCGAATTCCTTCAATTCGATCCCTCCAATCCATGACAGACATTGACTGCCTCGTATGTTAGGTTTGTTGGACTCATGGGTCATTTTCTTTTTTACAATAGCTAGAATATGCTTCTTTACGTATAATGAGAAGCATATGGTGAATGATCACTGATGTCCAATGATACATCATAACAATGCCTAACCAGCTGTAGGAATTCTCAGTTGATTATACTAGTCGTAGATATTGTCTTGAATCGGATTATTTATCGTCGACTGAAAGTCTGGAAGACACAAGGATCTCGTTGTATAGTGAAGTTGGCTTCCTCCCACCCATGAACTAGCTAACACACGTTGTGTTAGTGAACCACGTAAATCTGTGTGTTCTTGTCTTTCTTGCATTGTTGATTGTCTCGGTCCGTGCGTGACAGTACTAGTGAGATGTGAGTAGTCATTGTGGTAGTAGTATCGGTTTTGAATTCTTATTAATAAATTGATGACATTCACAACCAAAAGACATAAAATATCCTAGAACAAAATATTCTATATATGACTAATTTTTTCGGTACAACCTCCATTACGATTTCGCAATCCTTCATCCTTAGGGTAGTTGGGGATAAACTACAAGAATGGTCACTCAACTTCATCTGTCCTACATCTTCAGAAAAATATAAATGGTCATTAAGAACAGGGAGGCTGAACAAAGCACTCCACCTTCCAAAACCTTGTTACCTTTCGTGAGCAACAAACAAGGGCTAAGAATCAACAACAAGCTAACTCAAACACAAAGCCATCTCTAATCACACAACGAATCTAATCTGTCCTAATCACATGGTCAATCCTCCATATAAATGTGAAAATGATAAAATAAAAACTTAATTTTGAAACTCACAACGGTTTTTCGATTTTAATTTTAGGAGAAGTCCGAGAGGGCTATAAGAACAGAAAAATTGATTGCACGAGGTTGATACATTGTGCTATATTATGTTCAACTTTACAACCTTCCATTCCATTACTGAGGAAATTTGATGGACACCAGCAAGATTGTATGCACAAACGACCGCCTTCATTGATTTGTTTGGTATCCAAATGTACTGAAATAGTTTAAGACTTATACTTCGGAATCCGATAACATTATATCTAAAAACAAGAAAATACACACCACCGTTCCAATACCGTTTCTTACTATAATAAACTCATAAATAAAATCCATAATGTTGATTAGTATAGCTGTAGCATGGCTTCTTGTAAAATAGTTTAAAAAATGGCTAATTTCACTAGCAAGTCCAGACTATTCAAGAAGTGTCATTTGTGGGCTAAACTATTCAATATAACAAATCTGACACAAACTATATGAGTTTCGTGACATTTATGTCCTAAACTATTCAAATATGACAAATTTGGCACAAACCACATAGAAGGTGATTAGATTTTCGGTGATTTACTAACGGTCAACGCCGGTCAACATTAACGGAAAAATAGTTCGTGCCAGATTTGTCATATTGAATAGTTTGGGACACAAATGTCACTTATTGAACAATCTCTTCATTCATCCAACTTAATTTACGATTAGTTTCACTAAGTCCTAAAAGCCAAATAAATTCAATCTATGTCACCAAAATTCACTCATCAGTATTCCAAACACACTCGATAAAATCATATTTTCCCCCAACTCAGTCCCAATTTACAAACTCGACTTGTCATGCGAGCAAACACACACGCCGCGAATTTGATCCTGTCATCAAAGTGAAAATAGTTGGGTTGAGTAAGAGATTCTAATTATAAGAAGATTTTATTTAATCTACCTGCTCAATGCAATTAGAAAAAGTAAAAATTATTTTGTTAAAATCACTTAATTAAATTGATGTTCAAAATTATAGCTAAGTGACCGCTTTATTATAAATCCCATATTCTATCACCATTTAAGACTTAACCTCTTTTTTTTTTTTACATTACGTTGTTGTTGTTGTTGATGGTGAATTTAGAGGCATTTTAGTATGCTATATAGTACCCATGCTTTAATATACTTACAGCCATTAGATCTTGTTATAAAATATCAGCCATTGGATTGAAGTTATTTAATTATTATTATTTTCATTTGTTGGACTGGTAACCTGTTGCACCGGTTCGTTACACAATAATTTAAAAAAAATTGAAATCCAGTCGGGGTAAAGGCCACCTTCGATCGGAATTCAGAGCTTCTCACCTCTTATCACACCATCTTCGACCATCGCACCCACGGCTGTTTACTCTTCCTTCGATCCTCTTCCTTCGATCCTCTCCACGCAGCTAGCGAGCCGGATTCCGACGACGACAGTGAAGGCGGCGAGCAGTGGGTGACGACGAGTAGAAGAAGCTTGTCGATTGCAGCATCTCTTTGACTGCGGCGAGCCGGATTCCGACGACGACAGTGAAGGCGGCGAGCAGGGGACGACGAGAGCGAGCATCTCTTCGTCGATTGCAAACGAAGACCCTCTTCCCATTGATAGCAAACGAAGACCCTGCACAGAACCCCCTCTTCCCATCGATAGCAAACGAAGACCCTGCACAGAACCCCCTCTTCCCATCGATAGCAAACGAAGACCTACCTCCTCCACCGCAACTTTTTCCGGTTAGTATGCCTACAGTTCTACAATTTTATTCAATTTTCCGGTTAGTATGGCTATCAGTTTAGGGATTATATTGGGATGTTCTAGATTTACAAATTTCGGTAGGGGGATTGAAATTCCATGCTCGTTTTACCAGATTGAACTATGGATTGGTTGTTTAGGAACTTGACGAGCTGAAGAAGAATCAGTTTAGTTGTCTGCTGTAGGCGAAGAATCAGTTTAGTCATCTGGATTAAGTTGTATAGCATACTGAAGACGATGAGATAGGAGTGGGTATTTGGCCAAACTTAAGTGGCTATTAATGAAAGGCAAGACAGAGCAAGAGGCTGCTGCTACTGTCAAACGAGTTGATATGAACTTGACTTTCTTGCTGTTGTCATTGATCATGCGAATGAGTCTATGCATGTAGCCGATGATGGAGAAAATAATATATTGCTTATCAATATGCTCAGATTTAGGTTTATGAGTTTAATTGGTCATGTCCTTTTACCAGGTTGATGTCCTTGTAGTATCTTCTTTGTGTTTAGCTTGATAATTATCTCATGTTTTTATATGAATCACTCAGGGATATCGATCATTATGTTTTCTCATTATGATTGATTGGATGTGTTGGAATTGTGTTGATTGTTCAATCAGCCACCAACAAGTTGTTATGAATTTACTCTATTGTCACTCAGTTTCTGTGATGCTAGCCCTGTGTAGGATAGATGGCTGAGTGGTTCAAAGTGAAACATTAAGATCTGTTTCATTTGTTTTTACTCAACAGCTGATATGAGATATCTGGTAGCTGATGGTTTAGCATTATGGTAGCTAAATTTGCTGATAGGGCTATAGATGGAGAGAGGTCTTTGTCAAAGCAACGTGTTGTAATGTGGTTGTTGGTTGCTCCTCCATTAACCATACAACCATAGATTTCCTGCTAATAAAGTTCATTGTGAGTCGATTTACACATTGAAGCTTGAAGGGAGAGTTGTGCATGGTTGTGGTTGCCTTGTTGGGTAGTGAACAATTTAATCATGTACCAAAGAGGAAAATGCTTGTCACCAAGAAAACTCACACTTGGTGAAAGAGCCTAGGAAATAGCATGCATGAACCAAGCAAAGATCATGTGTTCTTTATGTGGTTTTCCACCATAGCTAAATGCTATCTCATGAAAATGATATCATAAATTAGTTTTGGAAACTTTTTTTGTTTACTTTTTCATAAATGGAAACTCCATTTCACTTGGAAAACCGGTGTGAGTTGCATGTGTCGAGAGAGCTATTGCCTTGTTGAGTTACATAATCGTCATTCCAAGCATGCAATTCATCTTGTCTTTGTGAGCGCTGGGAGAGGAGTCCTAATCATGTTCCCATTGTGGTTAAGCTAGCAACTATTTGTAGTATGCTTGTTGTGTGGATGTATTGTAGAAAAGGGTAATCGAAGCATTTGTCTTCTGTGATTCTTTGCATGAGCTTTGCATTAGTCTTATGTGATTCTTTGCATTCATTTGAGCTTTTTATTTCGTTTGAATGCTAGCTCCGTCTACGTTTATGTGATTAGTACCTCAGTTTACTATTAGAGCAAGATTGTGATGCAATTGATAGGTTATGTCGTGATTCATCAAGTAAACCTTGGACTTCATCTCCTCATGCTTAATCATTAGTTCATTCTTTCATGCATTCCAGTATTATTTTTCTGATTAGAGATTCATCTGTAAATATGCACTTCTCACGGCTCATCTGTAAATATCACGGGCGTGAGATTAACCCGTGATATGGTCACAGCTGAAACTCAAAAACACGCCTCACATATGAAAATATCACGGCCGGGAGATGTACCGTTAGATTTTTTTTAAAAAAGGGGGAGTTCCAGGGGTTTTCACGGGTTGGGTTCGAGAGTATCACGGCCGTGAGATGAGCCGTGTTTGTGTAATTGAATTGCTGGACTTCTCACGGGTGTGAAATTTCAAGAATTAGCCGTGAGAATATTTAATGGGTGTTTTTAGTTTCACGGCTTATTTTAACGGTCGTGATTTATGAAGCCAAAGCCGTGAGATTGTCTGGAGATATGAAAACTTCTCTTTGCTTCTCACGGGTCATGTCACGGCCGTGAGATTTTGTATTTTGGGTGAAATTTAATGAAAGCTGTGTGTTTTGGGTGAAATTTATATATGCCAATGGCGGATTTCATGGTTAATTAGTGTACTCAGGTAGTTAGAACTTGTATTTTGTTTGTACTCTTCGGCATGCTTATAATTCGTGTTTCAAGGCATGCTTATAATTTTTCTGTTGTTTTAATTTTGCAGTTTGCTAAAATTGTTCTATAATGAAGACGAAGAGGCATCAAATTTTCAGCACGCGATGTTCTCCTAGGAAAGTATTCTCAGTAGTCTCAAATTTAGAGGCTTGTCAATCAGAGGCCATTAGGAGATGTGGCTTTGGTCGTATTCTTGATGTCAAAGCAAGAAAGCTACAACGTGAGTTGTTGGAGAAACTTGTGAAGAGCTTTAATCTGGAAGAAAGCACAATTAAGGCGTATGGGTTGGAAGTGCATATTTCGGCCAAAGATTTCGAGCGAATTATGGGTGTGCCTGAGGGAGGTACTGATATCATCTTGAATGGTGAAGAAGTGGAGGGAAGATCAGAGGAACTGGAACCATTTAGAGTGTTTTCGACACGTGAATGTGGCCGACAGGCGATTTCCACAAGCTTAATGAAGAAGGAGTTGTCGAAGATGAAAGATAGCGACGATCTATTTCTTCAAATGTTTATTTTGTACGTAATGGGGGTGCTATTAGTACCAACTAGAAGAGAGGACATTTCCTTGTCTTCGGTATACGCTGTCACCGATGTTGCAGACATTCCGAAGAAGAATTGGGCATCCTTTTGCTTCAATGAATTGGTCAAATGCATCTGCGACCATAATGCTTCTAAAAGAGAGTATATACCGGGTTGCTTGCTGTTTTTGGAGGTAAATAATTGTTAATCCCGACTTTCTACATATTTGTAATGATTAATCATCATGTTGATTATAGTATTTTTTTTTTTGTAGTTAATATTCTTGGAGCATGCAAATGGTATTTTCCAAACCGTTGATGGGAGTTTGGATTTGATGAGTTGGGGGAGCGGAGACGTGGAGTTATTGTTAACAAAAGTGGTAAGATTGATAGTATATTTGATTCTTTTGACAAGTTGGAGCATGCTAATGGTACATTTGGTTCCCTTTTTAATTAATTTATAGGTTTCCAGCAGTTCGGGGAAAAGATCAGCTGAGGATGCCGGTTTGAAATCACCTCCAAGGAAACGGGGAGAAGTAGATGGGAAACGGCACAAACCCGACGGGGATGAGCTACTTCTCTATGAGCGTATTGATGCTCGGTTTAGTACCATGGAGGGTAGAATTGACAACTTTGGTCAAGAATTTAGAGTGGCAATGGGTGATGCTGCTTCTAGAGATAATGAGCTAATGAGCCGGGTTGTGAAAATGGAGAACGAATTTCGGGCTTTTAGAGACGAAATCGGTACTGCAGTGAAGTCCCTTATAGAGGCAGTGAAAGCAACTGTAGGTGATCCGTTGTCAAGGGAGCAGCCTAGGGAACCCATTTCTCCTACAGCTGAGTTGAAAAAGAACGATCAGAAGGGTGAGGTTGAAAAACCTAGGGAACCCATTTCTCCTACCTTGGAATTTGTCAAGACTGCCAAAGTTGAGAATTCGGGAGAAGCTGAGGGGGAAATTGGAGATGAGAGATGTTCTGAATCTCCTTCTGTGAAAGTTGTGAAAAAGTCTCCTTGCAAGCAGCCTAAAGCGTCGCAAGTTGAGAAATTCATATTGTTGAGTGATGAAAGTGTTGCTGCTAATGATGGTTGTTCCAAGGCTGTGAAGGTATTTCACTTGATTAATTTTTCTAATTATTGGTTCTTATGGTGTGGTTACTAATGAACTGGTTTTGTTTTTTTATGTTTTTGAACAAGAAAGGGGCGAAAGGGAGGTGCACTACGTAGTGTGTCTAAATTGAAGCCTAGTTTGTATGTGCTCTCTCCATTCGAACGGGCAAATCCCAGAGCTAAGAAAGCACAACCTTTGTACCGTGCTCCTCCCTTTGTTGTTGAGACACCATTGTCTCTGGAGGCAGTAAAGATGCTTCAATTTGCTTTTAGTAGTGAGCTTCCCGAAAGGTACCTCCCGAAATCATTACAAGTAAAATTGGATCATATTTGTAGGATGTTTTTGGTATTTGCTTATTCTAATGTTGTGTTGTTTGAACTTGGTATTGTATAACAGTGACACATTGGTTAGTGTTGGTGGCGGGGTTCTTTCCTTGTCACGTGAAGATTTTGTCGAGCTTTTGCCAAGGACCAAAATTTCAACAAGGGTAAGTTCATTTATGTGTGTAATTTAGTAGATTGAACGTGTATTGCTGACTTTGGTATATGTGATGATGATGCATTAGATTATAGAAATGGCGTGTCTGTGCAAGACACTAGAAGAACGGAGTTGTGGTCGCACTGGTGGCTTGTCTTGGTTCTTTCCACCTCAAGTTTCGGTACAGTTGTCTGCTTTGTCTATTCTTGTCATGAAATTAATCTATTTTTTGTAGCATGTAGCTTGTGTGGGTGACTGTGTTTTATTTTTCTAGGAGCGTGCGAGTCATTGCAACGAGGAGCAATTTATGGCTAAGATGCGTTCATATAAGATACATGAGCGATACTGTATTGGTGAGCTACTTTACTGCAGTAAGGTATGTTGTAATGTTGTTTTCTAAAAGGAAATGGCTTCACCCTCCTATGTTAAATTGATAATTATTGTTTGTTTGTCCATTATTTCAGATTCATGTCCCAATTTTCAACCTCACGTTGAAGCACTTCTATCTGGCGGTCTTTAACATGGAAGCCAAAGAAATCGAAATCTGGGACTCATTACGAGGAACTCATAATGAAGAATATGATGCAAAGATGCAGAAACTGGTTTGCTTCTTGTTCTTCAACTTTTCAAGCTTTACTTATTGCTTAGTTGTTAGTTGTATTTCATTTGCCGACTTTGTCGTTATATATCGATGAGGTGGATGTTTTCATTTGCAGAAATTGGGTCTAGATTGGTTGCTTAAGGATGATATCTGTGGGGCGTTTTCATTTGTGGACTTCGTGGTTAGATATCGCCAGGATGTTGCTTGCCAACCAAATGGGTACCCTTTGTTGTTGTTCAATCGTGCACTGTTCTAATTAAGTTCGATAATTATTTGTTCGCATCATGACCATGATAATTATTTGTTATATTACAGATTTGATTGTGGACTATTTGTCAGCAATTACTTGCTGGATCCAGATCGATATTCCAAGAAGCTTGACCAGTTCCATAGTGAGTATGAGCGGGCACAATTTACAATGTACTTGCTCACTACGGATCTGAATGAGGTGAAAGCTACAGTCAAGACACAATCCGATGAATATTTTGAGAGACATGCAAGACCTGCCCAAATTGAGACCGAGAAGGTGAATTTCAAGACAAACTTACTCAATCGAGGAAGAAAGCCGTTGCATGCGCATGGGGAGAAAAAGGGTAGAAAGTCTAAGAAGCATTGAGACTTGTGATGTTAATGTAGAGTTTAGTTAATGTGGATGTTGATTGACATTTAGGATAATGTAGTTGTTGAATGAATTTTAGTGAATGTAGATGTTGAATGAAGTTTAGGAAACTGTTGAAATTACAATGAAGTAATGAATGAAGCATTATTCAGTGATGTTATTTTTTCTCTATATTATGTTTAATGTGTCGACAAGGGAAAAATTATGCATGATCATATACCGAAAACTGGTTGAAAATGGACCTGAAAGCAGGCGTGTTTTTGGATTTGTAATTCTGTAAATATCACGGCTGTGAGATAGGCCGTGAGATATACCGTGAGATTTTTTCCATACAAAGGTGGAGTTCCAGACAGTTTCACGGGTTGTCTGCGACAGTATCACGGCCGTGAGATGAGCCGTGTTTTGGATATGAATGATGGACATCTCACGGTCACTATGTAAATTCTCATGGGTGTGAGACTTGGCCGTGAGATGGGATTTTATAACGGCTTAATGATGGTAATTTTACGCCCGTGAGAATGGGCCTTGAGATTCAAAAAACCTGAATCTCACGGTCTTGAAAGGACCATCTCACACCCGTGAGACTCCAGAAAGTTTCACGGGTTGCCTTCGACAGTATAACGGCCGTGAGATGAGCCGTGTTTTGGATATGTATGATGGACATCTCACGGCCACTTTGTAAATTCTCATGGGCGTGAGACTTGGCCTTGAGATTCAAAAAATCATTCCCTATTATCGGTTTTGGGTTGAACCCCATGTAATTGTGAACCGATGTGAGATTGAGGTTATGTATATGGTTGAATGAGCGTTTGATTATCGGTTTTTGGTTGAACCCCATGTTATTGTGAACCGATGTGAGATTGAGGTTATGTATATGGTTTAGCGAGCGTGTGATTATCGGTTTTGGGTTGAACCCCATGTAATTGTGAACCGATGTGAGATTGAGGTTATCTATATGGTTTAGTGAGCGTTTTATTATCGGTTTTGGGTTGAACCCCATGTAATTGTGAACCGATGTGAGATTGAGGTAATTGATATGGTTTAGCGAGCGTGTGATTATCGGTTTTGGGTTGAACCCCATGTAATTGTGAACCGATGGGAGATTGAGGTTATGTATATGGTTTAGTGAGCGTGTGATTATCGGTTTTGGGTTGAACCCCATGTAATTGTGAACCGATGTGAGATTGAGGTTATGTATATGGTTTAGTGAGCGTGTGATTATCGGTTTTGGGTTGAACCCCATGTAATTGTGAACCGATGTGAGATTGAGGTTATGTATATGGTTGAATGAGCGTGTGATTATCGGTTTTGGGTTGAACCCCATGTAATTGTGAACCGATGTGAGATTGAGGTTATCTATATGGTTTAGTGAGCGTTTGATTATCGGTGTTGGGTTGAACCCCATGTAATTGTGAACCGATGTGAGATTGATGTTATGTATATGGTTGAGTGAGCGTTTGATTATCGGATTTGGGTTGAACCCCATGTAATTGTGAACCGATGTGAGATTGAGGTTAAGTATATGGTTGAATTAGCATGTGATTATCGGTTTTTGGTTGAACCCCATGTTATTGTGAACCGATGTGAGATTGAGGTTATGTATATGGTTGAATGAGCGTTTTATTATCGGTTTTGGGTTGAACCCCATGTAATTGTGAACCGATGTGAGATTGAGGTTATGTATATGGTTGAATGAGCGTTTTATTATCGGTTTTGGGTTGAACCCCATGTAATTGTGAACCGATGTGAGATTGAGGTTATGTATATGGTTTAGTGAGCGTTTGATTATCGGTTTTGGGTTGAACCCCATGTAATTGTGAACCGATGTGAGATTGAGGTTAAGTATATGGTTGAGTGAGCGTTTGATTATCGGATTTGGGTTGAACCCCATGTAATTGTGAACCGATGTGAGATTGAGGTAATTGATATATGGGTTGATTTTCGTTTGATTATGGTTTTGGGTTAACCCATCTAATTATAACCGATGATTTTTTTGGGTTGGTCATAATGAAGAAATTCCTAGATCCTAAACCCTCACCGTCGTAAGTCGTAACAGTGATGCCGTTTCTTCCTTCTCGTCCTCCGTCGGCGCCAGAGGACTGATCCTCGGTTCCTCCCTGTCGGCTTCTTCCTTCCAGCTTCCCTCTCTCCCAGCCTCAGTTCTTCCTTCGTCTTCCCTTCTCTACCGGCGCTTTCTCCCCCTCGGCCGTCGAGTCTTACTCACAAGGTCTTGATTCGAAAAATTCCGCCCGTTTCCCATGGCTTATTTCCTTCCCAGGTGCCGGGTTTATGTTTCCCAGGGCGAGCAGTCTTCCCTTCCCGGCTAACGAGGCCAAGCACCGCCGGGAGCTCGAAGCTGCCATAGGGATTGTGGAGCGCGCTTGTCGCATCTGTGTTGACGTAAAATTTGAATTCCGGTTCTGCTTTTCGCTTAGCATATGCTTGGTTCGTGTAGTCCGAGTAATTCTTCTTTCTTCTTTGAAATTTCTTCGATTGGATTGAACAGGTGCAGAGTTCCGTGCGCTCTAGTGAAGCAGCGTCCGTCGAGAAGAGCGACAGTACTCCAGTCACCATCGCTGACTTTGGTGTTCAAGCTTTCGTCAGTTTTGGTAAGCCTACTCTTCTTGACAACTGAAGGGAGTTGGGATGAACTTGTTCTCCACAAGACATCAGACCTTTTGACGATTCAGCATTAAGAATTCTAGTGTAATTCGATCTTAGGATCCATGAGTATTGGAACATTCACGTTGGCCTTTCATTGTAAATTGTAAGATTACATGGTGATCTATGGGTTTGTGGAGCTATTTGGAGCTATTTGATGAAACTTCATTTGTTAAGTGTGTAGAGAGCTTCTTTGTTTGCTTCATTTGGTTGTCTTCTTTGTTCAATTTGGTGGGTGTTGTGAATTGTGATCTTGCTTGGCTTCATTTCATTTGTGAATGGTTGGTTTGTCGCGGAAGTGAAGGGGAAACTATCGAGTTGATATGTGGATTACAGTTACCAGCCAGCCCTTCATTTCAATTGTCTCGTGTTTGCCTCGTGTTTGTTAAATGATTAGTGAAGTGTTCGATTTGGTCGGCTGTGGGTGGTGAATATGTCGATTTCAATTGTCTCTAAACTTCATTTTGTTGCTTGTTTTCAGTTGATCAACTATGGAAGGGTTGATGGATGATATGAGCACAGGCAAGGACACGGGAAATGACTTGAATGTTGGTTTAGATTGGGGAATGAATTATGGAGATGATACCGGTGGTGTTAGAGATAGTGACGATATGAAGGACAATGTCGACAGCAGCGATAGTGATTCTGAGGATGATAATAACACTAACATTGGTGATGATGATAAAGAGAACATCTCAGATGACCATTTGCACAGCTTCGAAACACAGCCACACAGCTCAGAGAACATCAAAGATGCTGCAAATCCAGCCATGGTTCCACCGTACTCGAGTATGTATGACTGGACTTTGCTTGATAAAGTCGGGAATGGTAAGCCTTATTCTAAATGGGAGTCGGATGATGTTGTGGGTTATGAGTTTGAAACCCTTGAGGAGGCTGGCAAGTTCTATTCAACTTATGGTTGTGCCATGGGGTTCAGCGTACGAAAGAACACTCACACATATTCAAAATATGGAGTTAAAAATATGCAGCGATGGGTTTGCTCACGCGAGGGGGAGCGTCTTCCAGTCCACAATGACAAGGAGAACAGAAAGCGTGAACCTAGGCCTGTAACAAGGCTCCATTGTCCGGCTGCTTTCAAAGTCAGTTTTGTTGAGGCAACTAACCGATTCAAGGTGAAGCAGTTTGTACCAACACATTTTCATCCCTTAGCTGGAGCACATGAAGTGCAGTTTTTGAGTTCTCATCGCAAGGTAGATGACGCAAGTAAGGCTCAGATTCGATCACTTAGGGCTGCTGGTATTCGCACCAATCAAATCATGGATTATCTAGTGAATTGTGCAGGAAGCTTTCAGAACTTGGGTTTCACTAAGACCGATGTCTACAATTTTGTTAGTGCGGATCGGAGGTCGGAGATCTTGGATAGTGACAGTGAAGCTGCACTTGCCTACTTACAAGCACGGGCAACTACCGATCCTCGTTTTTATTGTAGATATACAGTAAGTGACGGTGGTGAACTAGGCAATATGTTATGGGCTGACTCTCCTTCACAATTGGATTATAGTCTCTTTGGAGATGTTCTTGTTTTTGACTCGACGTACAAGACTAATGCATATAATCTTCCATTTCTTCTATTCATTGGTGTGAATAATCACAATGCAAGCACTGTTTTTGCATGTGCTTTACTTGCGGATGAAACGGCGGAGAACTACGTATGGATTCTAAATGCTTTTTTACATTGCATGGGTGGTAAGAAGCCAACCGCAGTTATAACAGATGGTTGTTCTTCAATGAGGAAAGCTATCAAGTCGGTTCTCCCTGGATCCCGACATCGGTTATGTTCTTGGCACTTGGGCAATAACGCAGAAGCGCGTGGCCATGCGGAAGGCTTCCGGGAGGATTTCAAACGATGCATGCTAAACTGCAGTTCTATTCCACAATTTGAAGCTACGTGGAAGGAAATTTTGTCCAAGTATGACCTGGAGCACAATGCGTGGATGAAGAAGATGTATAGGCGACGAGCTCTATGGGCCACAACTTACTTGAAAGGTATTTTCTTTGCTGGGATGACTACCTCACAACGTTGTGAAAGCATGAACTCTTATCTAGACAAATTCTTGCAAAGTAAGATGAAGTTGTTTGAGTTTGTCAAGCAGTTTGACATGGCACTTTTGTATAGGAGACAAACTGAGTTACATGACCAGTTTAAGACAATACATACTGATGTTGTTTTGATGACACATTTACATGAAATTGAAAGACATG